GGGAGAAGCAGGCTTCCCGCCGAGCAGGGAGCCCGATGCGGGGCTCGATCCCAGGCCCCTGGGATCATGACCTGAGCCGAAGGCAGCCGCTTAACAACTGAGCCACCCAGGCGCCCCAGTCAGCCTCTGTCTTAAGGGCAGTTTAAAGGATATACGTAGAGGAATGGCACACCAGGTGAAGTGAATAGGGAGAGGTGGGATGGGGTAGTGAGTAGTGTTTCCCCATGGGGATCACCTGTGCTAGGCATTTCTAGGATTTCTTTTCTATCTGATTTGTTTTTCCAAACCCTGAGAAATTGAAAAAAATGGTGAAATGTACTATAATTCTTCAAGAATTAAAGCTTAACAATCACATAAAGATGTTATTGGTTGGAAGGAATTACTGATGTCAAGTTGAAAGAGAAGGAAGCACTGACCTGCAGTTGAAGGTTAAGGCCAGTATTTCTAGGATAAGGGTACAAAATTTTTTGTATATCCATGGTAAGTAGTAAAGAGTATAAAAAATGAAGTATTTTAATGTAGGATTTTGGAAATTCTGATTTTTTGGTCCAGAATCTTAGCTGGAAACACTAGATGTGAGGAGACCAGTTCAGATGCTGTTACAGTAACTTAGAGGAAATAACAACAAGTAGGTATAATTAACATTTAGGAGGTAGAATCAATAGGACTAACTGAATGTGGGGGATGAAAAAGAAAAGGGGCAAGGGTGTTACTTTTTCTGACTTGAGAAACAAGGTGAATAAGGGCAATTCATTGTGAAAACAAATGTGGGGAAGAAGAGGTAGTTTTAGTGAGTGTGTACAGTTGACCCTTGAACAACACAGAGTGAAGGGGCACCAACCCCCCCGGCACAGTAAAAAGTCCACATTGAACTTTGACTCCCCAAAAACTTGACTGCTAATAGCCTACTGTTGACCAGAAGCCTTACTGATAAGTCAATTAACATATATATATTATGTACCGTATCCTTATAATAAAGCAAGCTAGAGAAAAGAAAATGTTAAAATCACAAGGAAAATACATTTAAAGTGTTTATCGACTAAAATCTGTATGTGAGTGGACCCATGCTGTTCAAAACCCATGCTGTGGGCGCCTGGGTGGCTCAGTCGTTAAGCGTCTGCCTTCGGCTCAGGTCATGATCCCAGGGTCCTGGGATTGAGTACCACATCGGGCTCCCTGCCCGGCAGGAAGCCTGTTTCTCCCTCTCCCACTCCCCCTGCTTGTGTTCCTGCTCTCGCTATCTCTGTCTCTTTCAACTAAATAAATAAAATCTTTAAAACAAAATAAAACCCATGTTGTTCAGGGGTCAGCAGTGTACATATAAAATGACAGGTGAGCTCAGCTTTGCACTTTTTGAGCACAAGGTATTTTGTATCCTCCAAATGGAGGTGTCTAGTAAAGAGTTTGAAAGGGGAATATGGATTTTGAAGTCAGTAGTACATTAACAGTGAAAGCAGTGGAAAAGGGCCATGAGATACCATTATTGGAGATACCAGTAATGAAGGACTCATCGGACAGCAGAACTTGCAAAGGATCCTGAGAGAAGTGCCGAAGCAGGGAAACAGGGAGAGAAACACCGTAGGGTGCAGGGCTGTGGCAGCCTGGAAGGCATGCGGGCCATGCTGTCCAGTGCTGTCCAGTGACATAGTGCTGTGGCAGCTGAAAAGTGCCCCTGGTATTTGGTGACAGCATTTGTGGATTAAAACTTGAGGACCATTTGAATGACATGGTGGGAGATGAACCTGGCCTGCCATGGCGGGTGGGGCACTGACGGGAATGAAGAGGGTGGAAAGAGTAAGTGCGGACAGAGCGGGAGGGGCGAGTGAGGAGGACAGTAGCTGGTAGGGAGAATGGGATCAGAGAGGGCTTTTGTTCCTCTTGCTTGTAAGATGGAAGAGACTGAGTGTTTACTTCCTCCTTACTCATAAGTGAAGAGGGGGAGGTGGACGATAAAGGAGAAGAGTGCCTGAGAAGCAGAAAGGGATGGAATCTAGGATACAGGAACTGGATTAATCTTAAACATCAGAAGGGAAGGATGGAAGAATGCCTGTAGATAGTGGTGTGGTGGTAGATTTGGCTCCAGGAAGCCCCACGAATTCCATGAAAGCCTTTCTTCTCATTGTGAAGCTGAGAGACTGAGGCCCTTTGTTAAGGAGAGGTGTTTGGATAAGAGGCTTGAGGAGAACAGGGGTGACGGGAAGTGCATGTTGTGGAATGTAGGAGAGACACCTGAAGAGTGTAAGAAGGATTGCCAAGCTTGTCTAGAGCCTAGCTGAAGTAGGAGATGCTGAGTTTAAAGTGCCATGAGTCCACAGGGTTCTGTTATTTTTCTTCTACCACTATCCAGCGAACCTGGGTATAGTTACAGAAAAATCAAGCTAGTGTACTTATCAGGCTTTGGGGTTTTTGTAGGCTACTGCAACAGGATTATGGAGGGGACAGGCAAAGAAGTTGAAATGAGGGGTCAAAATGATGGATTTACTGAAGAAAGTAAAGATGGAGGTGTTTACATACATGAGAAGTGGTTAAGGAATGAAGGGCTGATTTAATTGAACAAGTCTGGAGTATACCTGTGTGAACAGGCTAGAAAGTGGGGAGTTTGTGAGGTCAGAGATGATGATGACATCCAGGCTCTGGCCCTGGGGCTGGGCATGTAACATCAAGCAGAGGCAAAGTTTTTGGGAAATGGGGGAAGCTGAGAAACCAAGAGATCAGGATACCAAGTAAGTAGTAGACACCCCTAGGACAGTGGCACGGTTTGCATGGGGAGAAAGACTGTCCCCCGGAGGTACTTGGTGAGGGGTGAGCTGGTGGGAGGTTGGTAGATGGCAGCAGACAAGGTGTTTGAGGTTTAATGGCAGAAGTCTCAAGAGGGGTTGTAATGTGAGTGGAGTCCTTGACTAGAGACAGCATTGGGTTTTGATGGGGAAGTTCGCATGGCTTCTGTTGTGTGAGGTCCAGTGGGTGTGGGAATTATCTGGGGAGGCTCCACCTGGGGGGTAGAGGAGGGTCCTTGTCATCAGGAAGAGCTAGGTTTCAGTTAAGGACAGAAGGTAAAAGAACCATTCCATGAAAAAAAGACTGCCTCTAGAATTTATTCACTCTGGAATTACAGGTTCTAGAGGGCATACATTTTAGAGGAAACAGTTGTGGGTGTTTGGGTAAGTGGCAAACAATCACAGGACACTGTTAGTGGCAGCGGTCCCTCAGGGAGCTGTCAGAGGCTTGTTCTGAGTGCACTGAGGCTGGTGCCTGGGGTTTCTGTTGGCTCAAAATCTGAAATCCAGGAAATGAGGGCAGCCATTAAACCTCTAGCTCCTCCTGAGGAGTGCCCCCTGGGTGGCAGCATGCTCCTGGGCTTTGGTAGACCCTCCAGGGTGCTGAGCTTTGGAATTTGATAGGCTGCATGCTCTTAAGCCTGATTTGGAATTTTGATAACCTTTTGGAGCTATCTCTGCTCTAAGCTATAGTGCCCTATGTTCTTTTTTTTCTTCTGAATTGAATTGTATAGTTATGTTTTTGTTGCACTCAGTTATTCTATACCTCTCCTCAGCAAGGATCCGACATTTCGTTGCTCTTAACTTTGGTTCTTGTTATCTTGTTAAGAGTAGCTGGACTCTATCACTCTGGTAACCAATATCCTCATTACTTGAGATTTTATCTGGAGTCAGGACTCCATTTGCTGTCACTGTTTGCAGAGCTAACAGCTTTCCAAATGCTGCAGAAAAGATTCTTCATCCATTCCCTCTTTCCATCCACCGTCCTAACATGGCGCAGAGGTGCTTTTCATGAAATACTGTGCTGAGAGAACCAGATCTTTGCTAGATGATTGTGAGATGGTTAGAGACTCAGAACCGTGGAGCCAACTAGAGATCATCTACTTTGAATGTAACTCCCATGACGCCTCCCACCACCCTTTTAAAAATGAGGACATGGAGTTAGGAAGGTGGCATCAGAATCTGGGTCTTGTGGGTTCTAATCCATTATACTTGTTACACTTCTTACTATGTCCTGTCTCTTGCCTCTCATTCATCAGCAGTGCAATGTGAAGGGGAGATTGGCCAGTGTATGGGAGTACCATGGTAAAGAGAAATTTTATTATAAAATTATCTAAATAACAAAAATGCTTTATATTTTTCCATTTTTAGGAAGAAGTAAGTCTAATTTAGGCTGGACACCTCTTCATCTGGCATGCTATTTTGGACATAGACAAGTGGTCCAGGATCTGTTAAAGGTATATTTATAGCTTTACTTTTTAAATGAATAAAATAAATATTGCTGTTATGGAAATTGTGAAAGTCTTAGAAAAGCCGACTAACCATAATGGCTTATTTAACATTAACACACTTAATTGTTCTTTGCTAAGTACATGAATTAGGTTAGCCTGGTGATTAATTAAAATTCTATTTTTTTTTAGTCATTTGATTTTTCTGACTTTTTAAAATTGCAAAAGTGAATGTATGAATTAATGTGAAGATACTAGTTTTTAATATAACAGTTAAAAAAATAACCAAAGTACATCCTAAGTAATTCAGAAATGATGCCAGAATCTCTTAATGAGCACCATATGATTTAAGATCTCACATTTTTCAATTCTCTGATAATTTTTCACATTGGTATTTCTGAAATTATGTTTTGTGTCTTAAAATTGGGTGGTATGTTTAAATATTGGGATCTTTTTCTTCACTGAAAACTTACTAGATTGGTGGAGAAAATTTGGTGTTTCATTCAGACAGTTCTTTTTTCAATATGGGGGTTTCTAAAGTAGAGTGAAGGTCTGTACATTTTTTGAAGGAAAATAGCTTTTTACTCTTCTACCTATCAGACTTTTACCTTTCAGGAAGCTTTACTGTTTACTATGAATTGAATTGAATTTTAGTAGTGACAACCAATGAATATTAACATTAGTTTTGAAATATTTAATGTATTTTTGGGGTGCCTGACTGGTTCATTTGGTAGAGCATGCAACTCTTGATCTCAGGGTTCTAAGTTTGAGCCCCACGTTGGGTGTCGAGATTACTTAAAAATAAATTCTTTAAAAAATATTTAATATCTTTTTAAGGAATTCTTTTCACCTTTGTGTATTTCTTGACATGTGGAAGATATCTAAAGTTTTCATGTTTGTCAGGCTGGTGCAGAAGTGAATGTATTGAATGACATGGGAGACACACCGCTTCATCGAGCTGCCTTTACAGGACGAAAGGTGAAAACATTCCATGTTCAGTGTTTGCAAGTGAAATATTTGGAAGAGTAGTCACATGTTTTTTAGGACCCTATGAATAGCAGCTGGGCAAAGCCACAAGAAGTACATAAACCAGCACTTTGGGTCAAAAGGCCACAGGCTCTTAGAACCAACAATGGGGTCAGATTCTTCCACTCTGGCATCCTGATAGGAGCTCCTTCAGTCCCTGCTTCTGTCCTCTAGGGATGGGGAACTCCTGATTGTTCCTTTTTTTTATTTTATTTTATTTTTTTTTTAAGATTTTATTTATTTGCGAGAGAGAGAATGAGAGACAGAGAGCATGAGAGGGAGGCAGGTCAGAGGGAGAAGCAGACTCCCTGCTGAGCAGGGAGCCCGATGTGGGACTCGATCCCGGGACTCCAGGATCATGACCTGAGCCGAAGGCAGTCACTTAACCAACTGAGCCACCCAGGCGCCCCTGATTGTTCCTTTTTTAAAAAACCATTTCATTGAGGTAGAATTTTATGTTGCATAAAACTCACCTACAGTAAGCACACATTTCAGTGATTCTTGGTACATTTACACAGTTGCGCAGCCCTCACAATCCAGTTTTAGAACATTTCCATCAGCTCAGAAAGCTTCCTCATGCCTGTTTGTGTTCATTCCTGCTGCTCTCCCATGCCTCAGGCTACCACCGATTGGCTTTCTATCTCTAGGATGTTTGTCTTTTCTAGATATTTCTTATAAATGAAATCACACAAACTTTTGTGTCTGGCTTCTTTAATTTAGCATGATATTGTTGAAGTTTATCCTTGCCATAGCATCCATGTATCGGTAATTTCTTCCTTTTTATGGCTGAATAACATTCCATTTTATGGCTATACCACATTTTATAATCTCTTCACTGTTTTACCAGAAGGACTCTTTTCCTATTGCATTGTCTTGGCACTCTTGTTGAAATGAATTGACCATAAATTTCTAGACTTTCTGTTGTCCTTTGACCTATATCTTTTGTTACATCAGTACTATACTGCTTTTATTACAGTAGCTTTATAATTAAGTTTTGATATTGGGTGGTCTGAGTTTTCCAACTGTGATTTTTTTTTTTTTTTAAAGATTATTTATTCATTTATTTGACAGAGAGAGACACAGCAAGAGAGGGAACACAAGCAGGGGGAGTGGGAGAGGGAGAAGCAGGCTTCCCGAAGAGCAGGGAGCCCGATGCGGGGCTCGATCCCAGGATCCTGGGATCATGACCTGAGCTGAAGGCAGATGCTTAACAACTGAGTCACCCAGGCGCCCCTCCAACTGTGATTTAAATGATCTTGGCTATTTTCAGTCAAAAGTTTGTATTTCCAGGGGCACCTGGGTGGCTCAGTCGGTTAAGTGTCTGACTCTTGGTTTTTGGCTCAGGTTGTGATCTCAGGGCCATGAGATCCAGCCCGGCATTGGGCTCTGCACTCAGTGTGGAGTCTGTTTGAGAGTCTCTCTGCGCAACCCCCCACCAAATAAATAAATAAATGTTTAAAAAAAGTTTGTATTTCCATATAAATTTTAGGATCATGTTAATTTCTACAGAAGCACCTATTGGCATTTTGATTGAGGTTGTGTTGTCTAGAATCTATAGATCCATTTGGGAAGAATGGCCACTTTAACAATATTGAGTCTTCCAATCCATGAATGTGAAATACCTGTCCCTTTATTTAGATCTTTAATTTCTCCCGGCAATGTTTTAAAGTTTTCAACATACAGACTTATACTCTTGTTAAATTTATTTCCAGGCATTGAATTCTTTTTGGTATTTTGAATGGAGTTTTTCTTTTAATTTCCTCTTCTGATTTCTTGTTGCAACTATATAGAAAGACAAGTTGATTTTTTGTTGTTGATCTGTATCTTGTGTCCTTGTTGTTGATCTGTATCCTGTGTCCTTGCTGAACTTGTTAGGTTTTTGTAAATTCCATAGGATTTCCTGTACACTGGGTCATAACATCTGAAATAAAGACAAATGTACTTCTTCCTTTCCAGTCTGGATGCTTTTTCCCTGCTCTTTATTTTATTAGATCCTAGTATACTGTTAAATAAATATGATGAGAGCAGAAATCCTTGTTTTTTGATCCTAGGGGAATAGTATCTAGTCTTTTTTTTTTTTTTTTTTAAGATTTTTAAAAATTTATTTATTTGACAGAGAGAAACATAGTGAAAGAGGGAACACAAGCAGGAGGGGGAGGGAGAGGGAGAAGCAGGCTTCCTGCAGAGCAGGGAGCCCGATGCGGGGCTCGATCTCAGGACCCTGGGATCATGATCTGAGCCGAAGGCAGACGCTTAACGACTGAGCCACCCAGGCGTCCCTAAAGCTAGAAATTTTCATTTTAGCTGTATACACAATACATTTTGACATGTTCTGTGTTTGTTTTCATTTATTTTAAGATACTTTCTGACATTTTTGTGATTTCTTCTTTAACCCACAGTGAAGTCAGGGTTATTTAGAAGTATGCCACATATTTGGCAACAATTTAAAGAAATTTTTCCAAATTTCTTTCCATTGTCGATTTCTTATTTCTCTTATGACCAGGTAACATACTTTTATTTATTGAAGAATATGAAATTCTTTTAAAATTAGGCAGGTGCATGGGTAGTTCAGTTGGTTAGGTGTCTGACTCATGATTTCAGCTCAGGTCTCGATCTCAGGGTTGTGAGTTCAAGCCCCTTGTTGGGCTCCATGCTGGGCATGGAGCCTACTTAAAAAAAAATAAATAAATAAAATTTCTTAGGAATTAACTTGTGATATAGCATTTGCTATATCTGGGAGAATGTTCTTTGAGTGCTTGAAAAGAATGTATATTCTGTTTTGGGGGTGGAGCATTCTATAAATGTCCATTGGGTGAGTTAAAAGGGTTGACCAAATCATATATACTTAACTGACTTTGTTTTAGCAAATATTGAGAGAGTGGTATTGAAATCTAGCTATAATTCTGGAATTGTGTAGTTTCAATTTTGTCAGTTTTTGCTTTATGAATCTTGGGACCCTGTCAGGCCCATATCCATTTGTAATGGGGTTATATGGAATATATTACATAGCATATATCTTTCTCATGCATTGACCTTTTTATTATTACAAAATGTTTTTGCCTTCAATAATATTTCTTGTCATAAAGTTTATTTTGTTTTATGATAATATAGCTAGTCTAGCTGTCTTATGGTTACTGGTTGCATTATATATCTTTTCTACTTTTATTTTCAACATCTAGCTTTGAATATAAAGTATCTCTTATGGACAGTATATAATTCAATTGTGTGAGGGTTTTTTTTTTTTAGTGCAGTTGATACAATGTTACATGAGTTTCAGGTGTACAACTCAGTGATTTGACAAGTTTATACCTTAGGCTATGTTCACAGCAAGTATAGCTACCATCTGTCCTATTACATCCCTATTAGAATATCATGGACTGTATTCCTTATGTTCTTTATATTTCAGTGACTTACTCATTCCATAACTGGAGGCATGTATCTTCCTTTCCCCTTCACCCATTTTACCCACCTCCCAGCTCCCTTCCCCTCTGGTAACCATTAGTTCTCCGTATTTATAGTTCTGATTCTGCTTTTTGTTTGTTCATTTTTTATAGACTCCATTTATGAGTGGAGTCATAGCATATTTGTCTTTCTCAGTCTGACTTATTTCACTTAGCATAATACTCTCTAGGTCCATGTTGTCTTAAATGGTGCGATTGCATCCTTTTTTATTTTTTATTTATTTTTATTTTTTATTTTTTAT